AAATTTATTTTTTTTTTTTTTTTTTTTTAGTACAGGGGATCAAACTCAGGCTCTTGTGCTTGCAAGGCAGGCAGCAGAACCACTGATCCAAATCCCCAGCCCTTTAAAATTAACTTTTAACTTTTTTATTTTATTTATTACTCATTTATTTATTTTGGTGGCACTGGGCTTGAACCCAGGGCCTTCTCCCTGACCTACATTCCCAGCCCTTTTTATTTTGAAACAAAGTCTCCCCAGTTCACTGAGTTGCCTAGGCTGGGCTGAAACTTTTGAGCCTCTTGCCTCAGTGTCCCAGAAATGTTGATTACAGGCACGTGCCACCATGTCTAGCTAATTAACTCTTTCTTAGAAGACACAAAATAAAACAGAGTGGCACTGTTTCTCTATAACCTCAGGATTTTAGTTTGCATTTTGACATACCACAGTGTTGTTTAGAACAACAACAACAACAACAAATAAACAATGCCTAGGTATTTTTTTAAATTTAAAAATAAAATTATCGAACATGGTGGTGCATGCCTGTAATCTCACCACTCTTGAGAGTTTAAGACCAGAGAACCCAGTTCAAGCTTGTCCTTGGCAATTAACAGTTCAATGGAATCTTATCTCAAAATAAAAAATTAGAAAAAGGGCTAGGAATGTAGCTCAGTGCAAAGGCCACCGTGGGTTCTTATCACCAGAAAATAGAAACTAAGAAACAAAATCATTAGCCAGACATGGTGGCACATACCTCTAATCCCAGAAATTGGGAGGCTGAGCCAGGAGGATCACCATGTATTCAAGGCCAGCCTGAGCTACATAGTGAGTTAAAGATCAGCCTGAACTACATAGCAAAAAACACTCTTAAAAAAAAACTAAATAAAGCATTAAAGCTTTTGAAAAATATTAATGTCAATTTTTGTTCCCAGTCAAGTTTACTAGAAGTACATTTGACCTAGTTTTCCTTTATTTTGAGATTTGTCAAATTAATGTAATAAATATTTTTTTAAAGAAAGAGGTGTTTTTTGTTTCTTTGGTTTGCTATTTAGCCAGTTAATATTTCATATTAGTATGTTTGACCACTGTTCTTTTTAATAACTTGTCTTAGTTCTTACAGGGGAAATTTGTGATTTCATAGATTTTTGTATGATAGTATGGAAAAATTACATTGCTCAAAGAATTTTGTTGAAGCAAGTTGTAGAATTCTCTACATAGCTGCCTTGTTTTCTCATTTTTTACATAAATTTTTATGCTTCTCAGTTTTATATTTTATATAATTAAATTTGAATATATAGCTTATGAATTGTATATATATTACATGAAATTATTACGTTGGTCACAAACTTTAAATTTTTTGCTATATTTCAGGTTACTAAATTTTCTAATTTCTGATGAACTCTCATAATTCACCTCTAATTAAGCTTTTTAAAAGTTTTAACTACTATATAACCAGCAGGGCATAGTGGCACATGCCTGTAATCCTATTACTTTTGAGGCTGAAGCTGGAGGATTGCCAGAAGTTCAAGGCCAGCCTGGAATATAAAACTATCTCAACAAATAGACAAAGATTAACTATTACCAATAATCATGTGTATGCCACTCTGACACTGTCAATGTGAACAATATAGTCTTTTATGTCATACAAGTGTTTGTATCACTTTGTCATACAAGTGAATATATTTCATATATGTATTTCATATATATAGTAGAACAGTTCATAGCACATATAGCAAAAGATAATTTCATGATTTTTAAAGTTGTTAATTTAAATTTTAGTCATTTGTAAAGGATGTTTACCATTTGGTACAAATACAATTTTAAAATACTGCTAATTGTTTTTTCCTTGTGCATTATACTACAGCTGAATTAAGCTACTTGTCACTTTAAAATGTTTTAAGTACTTAGAAAAGTTCTTATTTGTGTCTCAAGAGCACATATGGGTGTTTGAGAACCTAAAAAAAGGAATGGGAATTTTCATTGTATATATTTGATTTTCATTGTATATATTTGGAAAATTTTATTTACAAAAAAAAAATGTTCTTTCCAAGTAAAATTTTTTTAAAGGCTCTATTCATTCTTTTACAGCCTGATGTGTGAAAAAAGAATTTTTGAAACTGTGAATAGTGTAAGGCATCCCTTTTTGGTGAACCTTTTTGCATGTTTCCAAACCAAAGAGCATGTTTGCTTTGTAATGGAATATGCTGCCGGTGGGGACCTAATGATGCACATTCATACTGATGTCTTTTCTGAACCAAGAGCTGTGTGAGTATGCTTTAGACATTCGTCTGAGTTTTTCCATGCCTGATTTCTTGTTGGAAAGAAAAAGCTCACTGTGAATTTTAGATTTTTTTTCCTAATGGAAAATAGATCATTATAAGAAATACTAGAATTCCATACTTCTTTTGCTAGATACTTTTTGTATTTAGTATGTTGTCCATTTGATAACATTACATTTGAAATTCCATTGATTAGATACACAATAGCACTTTTTTCTATCACATTTTCTCCCTAAGAAATGACATCCAGTACCATTATTTTAACAACAAATTACACACTGTAATCCCAGCACTTAGGAGACCAAGGCAGGAAGATCACCTTGAGTTTGACGCAAGCCTGTGCTACATGGCAAGATATGAGTTCAAGGCCAGCCTCCACTACATGGCAAGACCTAACCTCAAAAAATCAAACAACAAAAACATTTTACTCAATGTACTTTAAGTTTTAAAAAGAATGTTCAGAGGAGTCTGCATTGTGTACTTGTATAAAATATTTCTATTTTCACAGGATAATTTAAAAGATTGTATTACCATCAAGTACATGTATACAAGTACATACACACATACATCAAGTACTTGTTTGCTTGAACATAAACAATCTCTGAAAGAATATAAAAGAAACTGGTTGAGTATCCCTTGTCTGAAATGCTTGGGACCAGTAGTGTTTTAGATTTGGGGGTTTTCAGATTTTGAAATAATTTGCATAGTTGAGTTTCCCTGATCCAAATACCTGAAATGCTCCAAAATACAAAACTTTTCAGTGTAGATTGGTGCTCAGAAATTGCAGATTTTAGAACATTTCAGATATCAGAATTTCAGTTTAGGGATGCTCAACCTGTATACATATTGCTTCCAATATTTACAGGCTTTTCACTGTAAACCCTTGTTCTAGTTTATTTCAATAGTATATTAACAAAGCAGAATTATTACAGAAAAATCAGTAATAATAGTTGAGATTATATGTGCATTTATAGTTTATATATTTATTCCCCCTATTTTCCTGGTTTTAATAGCTACAACTCTAAATGCTGATATTTATCAAATTTACATTTACAGTCCTGACCTCTTCCCTAACCCTGTAGCTCTAGTAGTATTCAGATCAAGGCCAATTTTTCCATTTGTAAGACTGATAACCGTCTCACTTAACATCACAAACTGAGCTCCTGATTTTTTCTATTCCCCTTTCTACCTTACCTACTACTCCCTAGACCTGCTACTCTTCTAGCCTCCCTCATCTTGTTAAATGGCAGTTCAAGATAGAACGCAGAAGGGCTGGGGATTTAGCTCAGTGGTTGCGGCGCCTACCTTGGAAGCACAAGGACCTGAGTTCAATCCCTGGTACAAAAAAAAAACCAAAAAAACAAAAAACAATGCAGGGAGTTTCCTTTTTTTTTTTGTTTGCTTAAACCAAGGATTGAACCCAGAAAGCACTGAGCTACCTCCCCATCCTTTTTTATTTTTGCTTTCTTACAGGTTCTAAGTCTACAGGCTGTCCTTGAAGCTGAGATTACAGACATACTTGTGCCACTGCTCTTGGCCAGAGAACCATCCCATCCCCTATCCCCCCCATTCCACACACCCACACACACCCACACACACACCCGTACCAGGGAATGAACTCAGGACATTGTGCTTGTGAGGCAGGCACAATACCACTGAGCTAAATCCCTGGCCACAGGGAGTCGGTCATTCTTGACTCTCTTTTCCCTCATCTACAACATTCACACCATAAACAACTTTAGTCAACTCTTATCTCCAAATCATACCCAGATCATAAAAAGCATAAATTCAATAGTACCTTTATTGCTTTTACTCATGAATTTTATCTTCTGATTAAGTAGCAACTTATATTAAAGGTGTCATACTTTCACACCTTTATTGGCTTTTCCTCATAACTATTATAGGTGTGTAGAATGGACAGTAGTAGTACTGTTACAGCCTTCAAGTTTCAGATGAAAAAATAGGGATCTGCTCTCATGTGTTATAAAGCATTCCAAAAAGAAGAAAATCAGAAAGTAATAGGCAGCTACTTCTGATTCCCTGAATACTTAAAAATAAAAGAGGGTACTTGCTCTAACTGCCATGGGAATTTATTTTTGTTTTGCTATGTTTGTTTTTGTTTTTTCAGAAAATAAATTACAGTTCTGCCTTAAGAAACTATTAATTCTTTTTGAGAATATAAATCATACTCAAATGAAACAAGCCTGCTGAAGTGTAAACATAAAATGCTGTATTGCAATACTCCAAATCTAAAATACTCCCTCTAATCACAAAGGTCCCAGCTTAAATGTCCTTTCATTAATGGACTTCTCCTGAGTGCTCTCTATCTAAAAAATACCACATCACTAAGCCAAAATTAGATCACTCTCCTGTTTCCTCCCACACCCCCTCAGTACCAGGGATCAAACTCAGGACCTTGGGCTTCTGAGGCAGGTGCAGTGCCATTGAGCTAAATCCCTGCCCCCCCCATTTTATTTTTATGCTGTTTATTTCTACCTAAAGTCACTTTACTTATCTATGTATATATTTTCTTTTGGTTATTTGATGCAGGATGTCCCTTTGTAGTTCAGGCCAGCCCTGAACTCACTATGTAGCCCAGGCAGGCCTTGAACATGTGGCTGTCCTCCTGCCCAGCCTCCTGAATGCTGGGATTACAGGCATGCGCCATCACGTCCAGCTTATTTTTAATGTTTTTATCATCTGACCCCCTCACTTGAAGGGGCAGGCACTGCATCTGCTAGGAAAACACTGGAAGAGTGCCTGGTACATCTAAAGTAATCTGGATTGGTATTGACTGAAAGTACGAAATCAAATAGTTCAATTCCTAGCTTTGTTATTTTCTGTGTGACTTTACTTTCTGTTCTGTAAAGTATTTAGGCTTAATTTGAAGATTCACCTGATGTATGAAAATAACTAACACATAGTAAGCACTTGGTGAAATATATATGTTAGACAATATCCCTAATTATTTCTTGAATATATCAGGATGATCAGTTTACAAAGAGAGAAGTCAAAATATTTTTATAATTGTTACAGTATTTTTTGCCACCAAAAATTGTTTTACAATAACTGTGTTGAGCAATTTTATAATCGTGTTTATTTTAACAAACTTTATGTAATTCCTTTAGCTGGTAAGTTAAGTTGCCAGTCATAGTAGTGCATGGCTATAATCCCAACTCTCAGGAGGCTGAGGTAGGAGGATTGCTGCAAATTTGAGTCTACCCTGGGCTACATAATGAGTTTAAGGCCAGCCTGAACTATATAGCAAGAACCTATATAAAAAACTAACAAAAATAATACTATTCAAAATAAAACAGATAAGTTATGTTAGATCTCGTGTAACAAACGCATTTCTAAATAGTTAGATTTTTAAATTCTTTTAAATTGTTATCATTTTATAAAATAAAAGCAAAACATTTACATATTAATGTCTTCTAAAAGTTTGAAAGAACACTCACCAAACTCACAGAGGTATTTAGCTCTGAAGGATGGAAGTAAAATTGGGAGATGGATGTAAGATAGATGACTGAAATGTTGTTTTAGAAGTGAGCATTGTGTGTATTTTATAAAAAAAAATATTGTATTACTAAGACATTTAGTTTTACTAAATGTCTCTATAGATTTATATTTTAAAATGTAGTCATCTATTCTCATTCAATAAACTTGTCATATTTCAGGCATTATGTTATGTATTTGTGATAAAAACTAAAAAAGACAAAGATGACCCTATGCCTGGAGAGTTAATATTCTAACATGGGTGTGGTGGTGCACGCCTGGAATCCCAGCTCGCTGGGAGACTGAGGTAAAATTGCAATTTTGAACTCAGCCTTAGGCGACTAAAAAAACTTTGTCTCAGGCTGGGATTTTTAGCTCAGTGGTTCCACTGCCTGCCGCACAAGCACAACGACCCAAGTTCAGTCCCTGATATGGGGGAAAAAAAAACAAACTATGTCAAACAAAATATAAAAATGAGCTAGAGATGTTTCTCTAAGAAAAGGCCCTGGGTTCAATCCCCAGTACTTCCAAAAAAGAAAAAACTTAATGTCCTAGTTAGGCCCAAATTTTCCAGAGCTCAAAATCTGTGTATCAAACTTTAAGGTGTTGTCACCTGCCATAGAAAATTCAGAGTCAAAATACCTAAGCCAAATTTATTTTCCCCATAAAACTTTGATAACTTTTGTATTTCTTTACCTATTCATTTCTCTGAGATGAAACAAGAGTTATCTTTCATTCTTCCCACAGCTTTGTCCTATACAGCTAATGAGATACAATGTCCCATGTTACTCAATTTTTAAATTTCTCTTGAATCCATCTGTTAATCAGATGCCACTAGAGTGGCTATTACTGTATCATTCATCTGTGCTGTCATAAAAGTCTTGTGTCTTCTTTTTTCCTCTGAATCTCTATATAATCTGCTCCGACCTTCACACTGCTATCCAGAAAAATTCCCTAATGTAAATGTGATCATTTCTTCTGATTAAAATGGTTTGTTTCTCTATCACAAAGAAAACAAATTTCCATATCCACAATATGGCACTCAAGATCCTTTATCCAGGCTGTCTCTTGAACCTAATGTCCCACTTCTTCTCTGTATACCCATCCTTTATTTTAACCACATGAATCTTGTTATTAGTTGTCAGATATGTTGTACTTTTCACACCTCTTCAGGAGTACCCTATACTATATTTCCCACTGCAAAACTTCTCACTCTGTCCTTTTTATCCTTATGCTGCATTATAATCCTTCAGAACTAGGTCAGTGACTGCACTAGGCAAAATTAATGGCTTCTGTTGTCAAGACTATACTTTTTCATTTTTTAATTTCACCCTTTATATCTAGTTTAACATGTTGTACATAGTAAGGACTAAGCCGGGCATGGTGGCTTGCACCTGTAATCCCAGCACTCGGGAGGCTGAGGCAGGAGGATCACTATGAGTTCGAGACCAGCCTGGGCCTACATAGTGAGTTCCAGGTCAGTCTCAACTACATAGTGAGATCCTGTCTCAAAAAACAACATAGTAAGGACTAAATAAATACCTATAAACTTAATTAACTACAGTTTTGCTTTGAAGTATAAAAGTATAACCTGGAATTCAGGAACAGTGAATTTTATTAAACGTGGTTTAATTCTTCAAACAGATTTTATGCTGCATGTGTAGTTCTTGGGTTGCAATATTTACATGAACACAAAATTGTTTATAGGTAAGTAAAATTTTTCTTCCTAATCACTTAACTGTGGTTTGAATTAGAATTACAGATAATTAAGAAGGATATTTTATGTTTAGCCAGCTTCTTAATTTTCTCCATGTAATAAGTCATACTGTAATTTGAAAGATAGGTGATCAGCACAAAAATTATATGATAAACTTCTTGGTTCCCAATCCTCTGCCATTTCCTAGTTAAAATAGTGAAAGTATGAATTGGAATATTATGACACAGTTTGCCAGTGTTCCTCCTTGTGAATATTTTGCATTCAACTGAGCCACAGAAAACCTCTGTAGATCAATATTGCTTATACTGTGTGCCCGTGATAAGTACAGTAGCTTGTTCCAGAGGCTTTATTAAGTTTCAGATACTAAGGATAAAGGCCAGTGGTAGAGCCAAGTAGTAGTTAAAGAATGTGGTTTGATCTCCCGTATCACCAAAAAAAAAAGTTCTTGCTGTCATCCAAATTAAACTATGTGGGTGACAGCCAATTTTTGTTCAAGGACATGCTCCTTTCAGATTGCAGACCACTAACACAAACTTCTAACAGTGTTTTCAAGGTAAGCATTTCCTCATGATTGCACTTAAAAAGTTTTTGACTGGTTTAATTTGTAATCAATTAACTTTTTACTTTTTTGAATCATTCTTTTAAAATATTTAACTGTGCCTTCTGGTACTTTCTGTTTTATCATAGCATAATTCTTTCTTATCATAGCATAATTCTTTCTTATAATGGTGTAAAGGCAGACTTCAAATTTGGACTAAGATTAAAATATGCAAAAAGAGAAAATATTCCTTTTAAAATACATTCTTCCTTTTCTATGTAACAGAAGGAAAAGCTTAGAAACCATTATATAGAGCAATAAACTTGATAATAGATGAAAAATGTTTATAATAGAGCATTTAAATCTGAAACTGTAACTTGGAAAGCCTGCTTGTAGAAAAGAGAAAGTAGGGCTCCCGTTAAACTGATTTATTTACTGTCTTACCTACTTGGTTTTTTTGTTGTTGTTGTTTCTGTTTTTCGTCCTGAGCAGAGATTTGAAATTGGATAACTTATTACTAGACACAGAAGGCTTTGTGAAAATTGCTGATTTTGGTCTTTGCAAAGAAGGTAATTGGGTTTTTAAGTTTCTTTTCTAATCTATTCCTTTGTAATTTGGTAGTTTTATAAGTTTATCTATGGAAAAAGATTTTTAAGTGTATTAAGATATTTTGGATTGTTCATATAACCTGTTTATCACATTAAGAATTTATTCTGTGGGGCCAGAGATTTAGCTCAGCGGTTTGGTGGTCTGCCTTGCAAGCACAAGGACCCTAGTTCAATCCCCGGTACCAAAAAAAAAACAATTTATTCTGTGGATACATGTAAATCAGGATTTCAGAAATCTCAGTATAAGACTTAAGATTCTCTTTTTAATATACGTCTGTCATTATTTTAAGGAAGTGTTAAGCACCAATTTGTTGAATCTTTTGGGTCTGTGCAGAGTGAATTATAGAACTATTAATATTTTAAGTAGGAAAAAATACATAAACTATATGGCTATCTCAAGAATGTTTTCTGTATATTTAAAAGTAAACAAGTAGGGCCACAGATGTAACTCAGTGGTGCTGCTGCCTGCCTCCCAAGCACGAGATCCCAGTTTCTATCCCCAGTACCAAAAAAAAAAGGAAAGAAGTTAACTAAGGAAATTTGTTTCAGAGTTCACTTAAGAAAGCACACAGAGGGCCAGGGATTTAGCTCAGTGTTGCGGCTGCCTGCTCACAATTGCAAGGACCTGAGTTTGATTCCCAGTTCCAAAAAAAAAAAGGAAAGAAAAGAGCATAAAGAAGAAGCCAGAAATGGTGATACACACATCTAACCCCAGTATTCAGGAGACTGAAACAGGACTTTGACGCCAGCCTTTGTTCCATAATAACACCCTGTCTCAAAAACAAAGAAGAAAGCAAAAAAATCATGATTTTAGGTACCAAGTAACCATAAAGCTACGTGTCTTTGCCACTTGCCACTTACTTGCTATGTGTCTTTAGAACCTTCGTTATCACTTTGAGTCTGTGTCCCCAAGTCTTAAATGGATAGAAGTTTGCTCAATTCCAAATGGATAGTGTTGAAGTATGAGGCATACATGTTATATATAGATACGCTCACTTATACATTTAATACACTGTAATTAACGTTAACTATCTCCCTTTCTACTCTAGTAGCTTCTTGTTTCTTACTCAGCTTTGTTTTCATAGCACATAAAATGGTTCTTGATGTATCTTAAGTATTCAGTGAATATTTGATTAATAAATAGTTGGACAAATGAATCAACTTTGTAAATATATTTCTATCATATGTCCACCATATCCTAACTGATGAACTTGGTAGAAATTTTATCTCTACTGAGACTTCTCTGTATTGGACACTGTTGATTGAAATACTTTTTGTTTCTCAAAATCTGCCCTTAGCCCATTGTTTTCATAGTTTCTTCTGTAGTAGTCCATACCTTTTCTTTTTTTTTTTTTCAATTAAAAAGTCTATGGTGTATCTGAGTTTGATCGCCATGAACACAACTTTAATTTTTATGCTATGTCTTTTTCTTTGCCAACAATAATTTAAATTTTATCTTTTTCAGGTATGGGATATGGAGATAGAACAAGCACCTTTTGTGGCACTCCAGAATTTCTTGCCCCAGAAGTATTAACAGAAACATCCTATACAAGGGCTGTAGATTGGTGGGGCCTTGGAGTACTTATATATGAAATGCTCGTTGGTGAGGTAAGCAGTGGAAAGTAGGAAAAAGAGAAGAGGAAAGATTATTTAAAGAAAAAGCAAGTCATTTATATCACCACCTAGTGTATCTTCTGCATTAGTAAAATTTGAAAGTTTATATATATTTTTAGTATGTTACTAATTGACTGTGTTTCTGTAATCACCCCCCACTTTTTTTTTTTTTTTTTGGTACCGGGGATTGAACTCAGGACCTTTTGCTTGCAAGGCAGGCAACGGGACTACTGAGCTCAATCCCCGGCCCCCTAATAATTTTAGATTTTATGTGATCTATAGAATGCCTTGAAAATAGGTATTGTGTTTTGGCTGTGTTTTATGATTTTAAGTCATAATCATAAAACTGATCATTTCATCAATCCCTGGTATAAAAAAACAAAACATTTCATAGGGAAGAAAATAATTGGAAGCTAATAAAAAAATACACTCTGTACTTATAAAGGCAAGTCAAAAATAAATGATACCTTCAAAAACTATAGAGACAGAATTGAAAAGTTTTAACATTTTCTTTTTGTTGGTGGTGATGGTTTTTTTGTGGGGTGGTTGTTGTTTTGGTTTGGTTTGTTTTTTTTAGACAGGGTCTCACTACATAATTCAGGCTGGTCTTTTGAACTCGACTTGTAGCCCAGGCTGGCCTCAAACTTGCTGCAGTCCTCCTACCTCAGCCTCTCAAGTTCTGGGATTATGTGCATGCACCACCACACCTGGCTCACCCTCTGTTTTTTGTGGATTAACTTAAATTTGAGGAAAAATGAGTTGTATATAAAAATGTTTACCATTTAAGAAAGAGAACTATATGAAATAAAGGTAACAAGAGCCTGATGTGTTATAAATTGTTAGGAATGATAGAGGTAGAATTTGAAAAGTAACTTTTCAACAAGTGATTAAAACTACTTTTAGAGAGACTTGATCTGGAAATGCAAGAAAAATGGTTTTATAGAATTGATTTTTTTTTTTATTCTGTAGTTTTTCCACTGCCAACAACCTTCCTTGTACATTCAAGGTATGAAGAGGTTTGTAGCTGAGAGAATAAATAAATTCTTGAATTTCAAAAATTTCTAAGTTTTTTTTTTGTGCTTATTATCACTTGCTGGCAGTTAACCTGCACAAATGATTTTCATTTGTCCAAAGACAGCCCCCTTTGGTATGTTGAATCAGAGTGCAGTCTCTGGGCAAGGAATGGAAGAAATGGCGAGTTACAGCAATGGCATTAATCATGTGCTAGGCATTGTGCTGTGTGCTTTGTAAATATTAGCTTGTCTGATTTTTCAGCAACCTTTAATAAGCGCCATACTAGTCTTCTGCCCATTTTCAGATCCATAAGTGGAGTCTAATAACTTGCTTAAAGCCACTTGTGGTTGAGGTGAGATTTTTAACTCTGACCACTCTGGTTTCACAGTCTAAACCTTTATGCTTTGCTGCTTCAGGGTAGGGTATGAAATTCATCTAACCTTATTTTTATTCTCAAGACCAGTGGTTGAGATCTGATTATTCACCTCTATTTAGAAAGAATGTTCTATGGTATCAAGGATGGCAAAATCCCTTTTAGCCCCAATCCACACTGGTCTTTCTAGGAGTGCAGAAGGCTCATAATAGTTGTTTCTGTGGGTTGTAGCATACTTGGACTCTATCCCCTTTCCTGTCTCTTTGCCCACCTACGTATCTATTTTTCATTACTGGAGAGTGAACCTAGGACGTTCCCACTGAGCTATATCCCAGCCTTTTTAAAATTTTTTATTTTGTGAGAGGATCTAAGTTGCTAGGTTGCCCAAGCTGGACTCCAAATTGTAATCTTCCTGCCTCAGCCTCCCAGAGCGCTGGAATTACAAACATGTGCCACCATTCCCAGCTCCCCTGCCTTTTTAAAAAAGTAACATTTTTGTTGCTTTGTTTTTTAAATGTAGTATTCAAGTAAGTATGAAATTTAGTTGTTACCAAAAAGTATGTAGTTGTTTAGAATTTAATGTACACATTAGAGATGGCATGCAAAAATGTGAGTTTATTGCACGATGCTACAGAATTAATAGCCTGCTGATTCTGTTTTCTCCAATTCTAAAGGTAGTGTGGGGTTTGGCAGAGATAAGGGCGGAAACTTGTGTTTCATAGCTTTTCAGTTTCTAGTTGATAGAGCTCTTAATTATCTAGAATAATGGGTCTAGCTATTCCTTCCCAGTTGCTTTTTGTAATTTCATTTCTCTTTAGTATACTCAGAGGAGGGTAGTTAGGAAAAGAATTAAACTTGAAACTAACTCATCAGTGTACTTTATAATTGTATAACCTTTGTGAAACTTTAGTGATAACTTTTCTTTAAACTGTAGTGAAAGTATGGCTCAAATAAAGTTTGTGTCTGTTTTGTGCTATTATAAATAATTGAAAATCCATTGGATATATCATGTATCTTCAGATATGTACATGTATACTTTTGTTAGTTTAGGGGACTGGAAAGACTTAGGGATAAACTCTTAGGTCCGCTTTTTCCTGTGCCAAAGAGGTTTAGAGTAATGTTGGACCCTGGTGTTGGGTACTGCAAAGTTGAGGTCTGAACAAGCAACTGGATCTTCTTACTGTGCATAAAACTCACCTGGTAGTGTCTGTTGTTAGCCGTTAGACACAAGCTACGCAAACTTACTAACAGATATGTAGATGTTTCTTTGCTGTTGAGAGACTTGTGGAGTGACAGCTTTCAAGTACAGAATTGTTCAAGCAGAGGACAGAACAGCTCTTTCTGTATTTCCACTTGAAATTCTAATTGAGAAGGCTTGTGAAATAGAATTTTCCCTTGACTTGCTTTTTCAATTCCTGAAAGAAATGAGATTGTCCCACGTAGTAAATATTTGAGTTATGTATTTTGAATGAGTGAATGAATAAGCTAAGGTTTTGGAAACTCAAAGGTTTAAAATGTTCTTAGTTATGAACAATAATATTGACAGCTCAGCCTTAGGGAATTGGGTTCTGCATTTGTTCTCACAGATTTTTCAGATTAAAGATTGCTCCCTTTCCATTAATTTTGTCTGCTTGACTTTCATTCTTAAATACTTTGCGGGAAGCAAGCAGCCAAATTCAACCTAATAAGGCTAAGTAAGATTACATTGCCCCATTTAGAAAACAGGTTTAAAGATACTGACTTGTTTTGGTGATTTTTAGATATTAAATAATACTTAGAAAAATGATATTTAGACATTGATTTTGAAAATTACTGTTTTAAAACAGTCTCGCTTTATATTTCAGGATGGTCTTGAACTCACTGTGGAGGCCAGAGTGGCCTCCAGATCACAAAAATCCTCCCTGTCTCAGCCTTCTGAGTGCTGGAATTACAGGCATGCACCACCTCACCCAGCTTTGTTTTTGCTTTTTTGTTTTGTTTTTTTATTTTGAAAATTGCTGAGTAAACTCTAAGCCATCTGAAATTCAGAGGCCATAAATCATACTTGATAGCTAAATAAGTAGTCAGCATTGTCAAGAATTATTTATCCCTTTACACATCAAACTGTCATACTGAACACAAAGGCATCTACTTTTTTCAAGGTCATTATAAGCATTGACTTTTATCTTGTGCTTACTGAAGTGTCCTGTTTATTGTTTTGGTTTTTTTTTACTGAGGATCAAACTCAGGACCTTGTGCTTATGAGGCGGGAATGGCCCACTGAGCTAAATCCCTGGCCCTTAATGTATGCTTTTTTCAGTCCCTTCAGTTTAATTTTGTTAGCAGCTGCTTCTTAGCGCAGCCATTATACCTGCTGATCTCTTAATTGCATGCGTGTGTGTGTCCTGCTTGCCTGCCTGCCTGCATGCCTGCCTTCTCTGCATTCTACTATGTAGTTCAGTATGTTCTTGAACTATGTAGCCTCAGCTGACCTCAAACTTACGGCAATCCTCTTGCTTCAGCCTCCCAAGTGCCGGAATTACAGCTGTGCATCAGCACTCCTTGCTCTCTAATTATGCTTTGGCCATGATTAATTTACTCTTGACTTTGAAATCCAAAGCACATCCATATCTGATGTTTCTCCAGACTCTGATTTTCTCTTTTGTAACACCACATTTACATTACCCATTTCCTTGTATCTCTCCACAAGATTGAACTTTCTGAAAATTGTGTCTGTTAAATATTCCCACTGCCCAATAGACAGTCTTGAATATTGACTCTCCAGATGGATGAATAAGTGAGTGAAATAAAATGGAGTGGAATTAAATGAAAACTGATATAGCGTGATTTTCCCAAGTTTTTGTAGGCTCTATAAAAATAAAGATTTCAAGATATAGTTTATCCTCTAGGTACTAGATACATAATTATTGTGACTTATAGTTCTTGTTTGTGTGCAGGTTTGGTTGTCATTTTTGGTTTTGTTTGTTTGTATGTTTGTTTGTTTTATACTGCCTGAATCTTGGTTGTACTTCGACTAGATGATAAGACTTTACTATATTGAAACTTTCTTCTAGTCTCCCTTTCCTGGTGATGATGAAGAGGAGGTTTTTGACAGTATTGTGAATGATGAAGTAAGGTACCCAAGATTCTTGTCGACAGAGGCCATTTCCATAATGAGAAGGGTAAGAATTTTTTTTCTAAAATACTGATTAAATTTTTTTATACTGAAGGAAATTTTCCTTCAGAACTTCAGAAGTTTTGTAGTTCATAAATGTTATGTAGTTTATATAAATCATACAAACAATTTTTTGAAAATTATGAGAATGCTTATCAGTGAAGTTTGTTTTATTGTTTTTAACTTTTGACTTTATGTTGCATCAGCTATTAAGAAGAAATCCCGAGCGGCGCCTTGGAGCTGGTGAGAAAGATGCAGAGGATGTAAAAAAGCATCCATTTTTCCGGGTAAGTATGATAAAGTTCAGAGGATTTCTTTTTTTTTTGATACCGGGGATTGAACTCAGGTCTTTGGGCTTGCAAGGCAGGTGGCAGAACCACTGAGCTAAATCCCCGGCCCTTTTGTTTTTGTTTTTAATGAAGCTAGAACACTTAGGAGTAGGAGACTAACCAGGCTCTGTATTTTGTGATTCAGCTAATTGATTGGAGTGCTTTGATGGACAAAAAAGTAAAGCCGCCATTTGTCCCTACCATTAGAGGACGGGAGGATGTTAGTAATTTTGATGATGAATTTACCTCAGAAGCACCTATTCTGACTCCACCTCGAGAACCACGGATACTTTCAGAAGAGGAGCAAGAAATGTTCAGAGACTTTGACTACATTGCTGATTGGTGTTAATGTGCTAGATACTGTGAAACCATGCAGACCGACTCACAAGACCTCTTAAAAATAGCAATTCTTCATTTGCTGTCTGTGCCACCAGTAGCTGGAGTTTTTTTTTTTTTTTAAAAATGAAGATTTCTTTAAAAGTACTCTATTTTAATACCTTCTTCAAAAGTGGCTTCTCGATGTTTTTGAAAGTAAATATGAGCACTGGAAACAGTTTCATGGAGTTTAGGCTGAATGAGCATTGGCCATGAAAACCCATCACAAAGGAATACTTTTGGATCAATAGTCTTTTTTTTTTTTTTTTTTAATTACAGAAAAAAACCA